AGCCCCCCTGTCGGCCCGCTGCTTTGCCCCGCGGCGGGGTTCACCTGCCTGCACGCCCGCTGCTCCCTGGACGACGAGGAGTACATCAAAGACCCGCATCACCTGATTGAGCTCTTTGAAGGGATTCGGGAGCAGTTCGAGGAGCGGGAGCCCGGGCAACGCGGCGGGGGGGGGTCCCCACCCCCTTTCCCATCTCGCAGCCCCCGCGGCGAGGTCGAGACGATCCCGATTCGTTGCCGAAACGAACTCGAATTTCAACGGCTGCGGTTTGTGCTGCAAAGCGTGTTGGGGTATGCGCGGTTGATGCCACGCCCGCATCGCGGGTTGCCGCCGTACGACCCTCGCAACGGCGTCTCCTTCGCGCCCATCCCGAGGCTCGCCTGGCCGGCCTTTAGGGAGTTCGAACAGTTCGTGTTTTACGTCTTCGCGCGCGGGGATTTGCTCGGGATGATCGGGGAATCAACCCGCCTGGAGGTGTTATGCGAAGGCGTCTTTATGTGCATCACGCCGGAGATGATTCTCTTCATGCGGGCCGCCGGCGAGATCCCGTGGTGGATTCGCCAGCACGACCTCCACGACGTCTACTACAGCCTCGCGAAGGAAGTGGGGGAGCCGTTTCTCGCGTTCTGTACGGATCCCCCCGCGCGGGATGTGATTTTTCGCCCCAAACCCCCCGCCGTCGGGGCGCGCGCGATCGCCGCGGACGATCCTCGCTTCGACGTCAAACGCACCGTGCGGGTCTTACGGGATGTCGGATTCGCCGCCCTCGACGTCCGCCGCGCGATGCGGATGGGGGAGGTCGCGGATCCCTCCCCCGCCGCCTTCATCGCGCGCCTCAAACGCGAAAAGGACGAGGACGAAAACGAAATGGAAAAGAAACCAACGCAAACGGAAACGGAACCCCGACGGACGGAACGAAAAGGAAGCGGGCGGCCTCTTCGGGCGGGAGGGGGGGGGGCCTCTACTCCCGCACGGCCCCCTCATCCTCCCCCCTTCGAAGGAGCAGCTCGCGGGGGTGTGGGGGGAACTTCAGGAGGTGCTGCACCCTCAAGGGGGGGGAGGGGCGCTTCTGCTTTCGTCGCCTCGCCCGAGGGAGGGGGAGTTGCTCGCGGTGGGGATCGAATCCGAGGGGGCGGGAGGGGGGCGCGAAGCCCGCCCTCTCCGACGGAGCATCCCGCGAACGGAATGTCGACCACGAAGTCGCCGCAGCGTGATTGGCTAAAACAGAGGAGAAGAGGGGGAGGAGAGGTGGTTGTCATATCCTTTATACATATACTCTTTCTTTTTCTTTTTTTCAGGGGGGGAGGGGGGAAGGGGGGGGGAATGAGGATATGCTTGCTTTGAGGAAGGGGGTTATATATACATTAAGTGAGAGGTTTAGGTCGGGTGATGGTTTCATCGCCTCAGGTTCCCTTTCTTTCTCACTTCCCCTTTGCTCTAGGCTATTGCTTGTGCTTCAACATTTGAGTTGGTGGGTATGTAGCGGTAGGATGCAGGCGATGGGTTTTTTATTTCTTTGCATGCGTGGTTAGGTTTGAAAAACGTCCAGTCGCTTAGCGTCCCCACAAGCTAATCCTTCACTACTACTGGTTTAGGGCGAGATGGACAACGAGAAAATTCCCAAAGTATATCATAAATATACATATCGAATGCGTGTATGGGTGTTGTATTTTTTCCCACTAATTATTGCTTGAATTCTGAAGCGCTGTTAAAATAGCGATAGTAAGGAAGAAAAAAAATGTTATTATTTGGAGGCGAGGAAGGTCCTTATTAGACATTGGGTTAGTTTCCTCGTACCACCTACTCACTCCCATTTGTATCTTCTCACGATTTGGGGATGACTTCACTTGGCAAATTCTCTGCGAGTCTTTGTTTTGGTGGAAGAAAGGTTGCCATGTTTTCACATCGGTAGTCTGACATTGGAATTAAAAACAGTGTTAACCCTCAATCCCTTCTTTCTTTTATTATGGTAAAAAAAAAATATTCAAGGAGATATGTAACCAACGGCCAAAATGGAAAGCGCCCAGCCTTCTTGTAGTACCATGAAGCTATGAAACTTCATATGTTGTAAACTGCGTGGTACCGCTTTACAAGGAGACAAGATTTTGAAGAGCGTATTTAAAAATATATCCTTAGCACAAGAGTGATTTTTGTTTTTTCGACTCAACGTGTACTTTTACTAAAAAAACATCTATACTGTAAAATGGTAACAATATTAGCAATAGAACGTGATTTAATCGATTTATTCTCTTTATATTCTCCTCATCTGAGGACTCTGGATCAGGGTGGTGACAAAGTGTTCTTTTTCAACCCAATTCCCTCTCCAATTTGTCTTCAGACGACACGTCCCCTGCACGTGTTTACAGGTGGTTTTCACATAGCAAAAGCGACTTATCCGAAGCCTATGCTATAACGCGCTTCGTTCAGTTTCCCAATCCCGCGTCGAATTCTAATACACCCCTCGGGGCGGAGAATCCAGTTAGAGGGTTGTCGAAGCGAAGGAAAAGTAGCGATTGTGGAGTTGCTGTTGGGATCTCGCGAAGGGTGGGGTTGAACGCCTTTGAAAAGGGGGATGGATATCCTTTGATAAGATCCCGCAGCCTAAGGAGGAATCTCGTTTGGGTATGCCCAGTCACGCGTCGAGAGGTCAGAGGTGTATTTGAGATAAAACTGCCGGGCGCCATCTGTGATTTTAGGTGGAGTTGTTCGCTGGAGAACGGGCACGATGTGAGTTGGGGTGAGCCTTCTATGCCAAACAAGATGGTTACGGCAATGCGACAAAGCCCCGCTGATTCGAATATTCGGTAGAGTTGTCTTTCCTCTCATAAAGTCCCCTAAAACACTGTCTGGCTGGAATCATAAAAGGGGGTCAGGGGATCAAAAAAAAAAGGGAAACTTCCGCCATTGATCTCACATACTGGAAAATTGTTTCCTTACTTTCTGATGGAGGAGTTACGCTATACTTGAGACCTTTGAGGTGTAAATTTGACTTGCTTTTCTTTCTTATTATTCTGTATATGTTGATAAAGGCGATCATACCCTTAAAGGATGCGTAGTATGCTCTGGAGACGGACCTTACTATCCTCACAATATCCATGGAGAAAGTTGGCAAATGGAAATTCAGTGTTTCCCCTGTGGGTGTCGTGGCGACCGCATTCAAGTAACTCATCTCCATCAAATCCAAACGATGGAAACAATGAGGCTGCTCCTACAAGCTCAAAAAGCAACGATACCGCCGCGAATGAGGGGGCGTGCTCACCTGACAGCGTGAACGAAATCGATATCTGCATCCACTCCCTTGTTGAATCGAAGACGAAGAGGATCAAGGCCCCTGTGGGGATGACGCTGATGGAGGCGATTCGCGATATCGCGAAGCTTGATATCGAGGCCGCGTGCGATGGCTGCTGCGCGTGTAGCACCTGCCACGTGATCTTCACCCCGGAAACCTATCAGCAAATTCCTGAGGAACCGTCGGAGGAGGAGCTCGACATGCTGGATTTGGCTCCCGCCGCCACGAAGTCCTCGAGGCTTTCCTGTCAGGTTAAACTGACAGAAGAATTAAACGGCATAGAGGTCTCCATCCCCGATGAAATGGGACCCTGAATTATGCAAAGTAGGATGGTGAAGGGTCGAGGTGATCCGGCCTACCACGTCTTTTTTTTTCCGAAGTACGACCGCGTACTTTGAATCAGCTGGTGCTATAGGAGTTTGCTCGTTTGATTACGAACTTCTCAACGTGCGTATTTGAGCAATGGAAAAAAAACATCTGAGGGCATACACCCCACGAGGTGTTTCACCGCGGTTCAGTATCCAAATGCCTTGAAAAGATCAAGGAAACGAGTGAAGGGAAAATTTATGCCCAACTTTCTGCGTTCCTCACTCATATACGTATTAATATGGAATGGTCTCCGCAAATGCGTTCTATAAATAACTTCAAGTCCGCGTTGCACGAAAACGGTAAGGACGTATTAATATCACTAATGATAGCTTTGACATTCACGATCAGCACTTACTACCATTTAGGCTTGCGTCAACGATAGAAAATTCTGGAGAACGTACGGAGGCGGTGTCATTTCGTCCTTGGTGTTGACATGTTTTGTCTTTCCAGAAGAATGGGGCATCTTGCGGAGTTTCTGATAGGAATAAAAATGTGAGGAACGAGGGCTAACCAACAATTCATTAATTTGCTTAAAATATATTCGCTGCCTAAGTATTTTGCACCTTGGACTAACTAATATTTACCCGTTTAACTATCTGTAATTCCATCCTCCCCGGATCCCAGCGCTTACTAACCTTCATGGGGACTACACCCCCTCGTACACACCTTCCCTCCTCTCCTTTTTATTATACATTAGAATGGTTTGCTAAAAAGCTCTTAGACAAATAAGACATCTATATCACCCATAAATAGATCACTACACAAAGTAAGAAACACACACAAGAATAATAGTACCTATCCCTACTTTTTTTTGGCACTATTGAGGCTTCCTTTTCTTTCTCTCTTTCATTTCATTCACGTATAGACGCCCACATCTTGTTAGATCATCCTTGAGTCAATAGAATATTATTCTTTTTATCTTTGCCTACCTCGTGTAGATTCACACTAACGAGCCGATATTAAATTCATTTATATATAATCTTCATCCTACGTTTATTCTTATTATTATTACTATCGTTCTTCCCCAATAAGCCATAGTTGTGTGCATACGCTTTGGCTGCCACTTGGAATTCGGGCTGTTGTGGCCGCTGCGTTTGCTTAGACTTCTCTAAATTCAACCATTCGATTCCCTGTGTATTACTCCTCCCACTCCCCATACGCTGAGCAGTTCCTCTGCACCCTACACAAGACACTATCAGCACCACGCACAACTTTCTTGCCTTCTGGATACCGGTGAAAGCTTAGAGGGGTGGGTGTGTAGTGGTATTGAAGGAGAGTTGAAGGAGAGGAGCAATATCAGGAAAACCAAAGGCATCCTCATCCGTCATGCTTCGCGTGGTTCCACAAGCGGACAATGAAAAGCTGCTGCGGCGTGTTCCCCCCCTGCCTTCCCCCCCACCGAAGCCGTCTTTTCAGGTGGGAGCGCGCGTCATGGAATTCGACCCCATCACCGGCTGGTTTCTCAATGACTTCCGCGTCGTCCGCCTGCTCGGGAAAGGAGGCTTCGCAAAGTGCTATGAAGTCTCAGACGCAAAAGGAAGCTACGCCCTCAAGGTGATCAGCCGCACCCTACTCTCGAATCCCAAAATATTGCAAAAGCTGCACAGTGAGATCACCATCCACCGTCGTATGAAGCATGAGAATATCGTCAAATTCTTCCATACTTTCAAAGACGAGCATTACGTCTACATCGTGCTGGAAAAATGCGAAAATGGCACGTTGATGGAGGTGTTGAAAGCCCGCCCTTTGACGGTGCCGGAGACGCAGTACGTGATGCTGCAATGTCTCACCGCGGTGGAGTATATGCACGAAGAAGGGGTCATTCATCGCGACCTGAAGCCCGGGAATATCATGCTAGATGGGAATTTAACTGTCAAGATCGGCGATTTCGGCCTCGCCGCGGAGCTCTTCCACGAGGGTGACCGTCGGCGGACGATCTGCGGGACGCCAAACTACATCGCGCCGGAGATTCTCGATCGGCAAGGCCGGGGCCACAGCTTCGAGGCCGACCTTTGGTCGCTCGGCGCCATTTTCTTCACGTTACTCGTCGGCCACCCCCCTTTTCAGGCGGGGGATGTCGAAACCACCTACCGCCGGGTCCGCGCCGGGCGCTACGACTGCCCCTCCGACCTCCCCATCCCAGCGCGTGATCTTATCGCGAAAATCCTCCAAAACAAACCGACCAGTCGGCTGGGGTTGGCGGGGATTCGCGCGCATCCTTTCTTCACCTCACCACCCACCACACCGCCTCTTTCCCTCACACAAAGCCGCTCCCAGCCGCAGCCGCGTCGGGCAGGGCGGGAGGGGAGGGCGATGCCGCGCGATCCGAACCCCCCTCTCGCCGATGACAGCAACGTCGCGAAGGGGGCCTCCAGCGGGCAGCCTTCCAGAAATCGACAACTCCCCACACCCGCGGCGGAGGCGCCGTTTAAACGAACCCCTCGCGCGGTTTTCTGCGCGGGAGGGGGCGCGCCTTCCGCTTCTTTTGCAGTTGCTCCCCCTCCTCCTCCTCTTCCTCCTCGTGAGAGAGACGATCGACGAAAAAAAAATGCGCCGGCAAGGCCCCAGCCGCTCACAACGCTTCACAATCCACCGCAACAAACCCTCCGCACGAACGACTACGATAACGAGAAAAAAGAGGAAAAGGAAGAAAATGATGAGGAGGGCGCCCCCCCTCCTTCCCCACAGGTTTGGGTGGTCGCCTGCGCTGATTTTTCCGCGAAGTACGGCCTCTGCTACCGACTGAGCACCGGGCAGACGGGTGTATACTTTAACGACGCCACCAAGATGATATGGGATCCAGCGCTGGGGAGGGTAGAATACTACGCGCGCGTTCGCGTGGAAATTCCCCAAGGCGACGGCGAGAGCGTCGAGCTCGCGGCGGACGAGCTGGAGGCGTTTCACATCGAAAATCCCCCTGCCGCGCTGGAAAAGAAGATCGCCCTCACGAAGTACTTCACGTCGTACCTTGGTCGAACGGATGGCAGTGGGGATGACAAGGTGAAAGTGGTGTGCTGTTCTCCGTATTTAAGTCCGAGCCCCCCTCCACCGTCAGGCCCACAGGTGGAGAGGCGCTTTATTTACGTCAAGCGCTGGCTTTGCACGGACAAGGCGATTGTCTTCCGACTTTCAAATAAAACAATCCAGGTATGTTTTAATGACGGGGCGGAAATTATCCTGAGCTCGGAATGGAGGTTCGTCACCTACACCGACCCTTCCGGAAACCGCCGGACGTTGGCCTTGACTACGATGGCAACCGAGTCCAGAAAGGCGGCGTCCCGTTTAAATTACATCAAGGCCATTCTCTACATGCTAGCAAAGGAAAACTGTCTATAGATAAGGAAATACGAAGGCGGATTCCACTTTTTCTCGCTTCACTTCCCTCCCATTACTTCTTCCATACTAAGGTATATAAACCACATGGGGCTAGGCATACCCCATGGGTTAAAGCAATTTGCCTTATAAATCAAATTCCTTTTCACTTTTAGGTATCTTATCCATTTTTTTTATCGTAAAGTAGCTTGCCCACCTACGTTCTGCTACTTCTTCCACAAATAGTTATTTACCCATTTCTTTATTGAATATGCAAAACCATTCTATGAAAACTAAAGATACTAATGGCGAGCCTTTAGTCAGTGATTGAAAAACATCTTTAAAAGCATTATTCTATATAAACAATACATTAAATCCACGAAAATGTCATATTAGTCGGTATAACACAACGTGAACAAGCCGAGAAAAAGTACAGACCATACCAAGGACACAAATAATATAATCCAGCGATTTCAAAGAATAATAAGAAATAATTAGAAGAAAAAGGATGCGACTTCAAACGCAATAATCAATGCGTAAAAAAATGAAGGCTCTGCTAGGTAAAGCCTCTTTGGTCTCTAGCACGCATACTGTGTCTGTCGCCTACATGTGTTTCCCTTTTTTATCTCTTCCTTCTCTTCCTCCACTCCTCTCAGTGGTTTTTTACTCTTTGCAAGCACTTCACACATAGAAGAAAAACACCTGCGGGGAGTCTCGTCCCATTCAACCCTCTACGGTTTAATCTTTAACATCCCGCTGTTCGTCATCTCAGGATGGTTCGGGTGCGTCCAACGACAGTAATTTTTTGATACTTGTCAGGCCCTGAAAACAAATACTATCGAGCGTAATTATTTTAAACCTTCACAATTTAAAGCATTTATGTTGTTGACTTTTTTTTTGTGAAAGATGACATTGATGCAATTACCACTTTTCGCTTTTATCTTTCACTCTGTCGACATTTTAGCTCTGTTCCTATGCGCATTTTCTCACGCACTTTCAGATTTTGTAATAATGATTGTTTCTCACATTAGAGTAACTTGAGAAAAAATTATTTTTATTTTAATTGTCGATCTCATGTAAGGATGAGTATATCCTTCCTGACCTGTACATTAATTATTACAAATGCATTTATTTTTATCTGTTATGTTGTCGTGGTTAGAAGAAACTCTGTTAAAATATATATTTACTGCCTAATTTTTTTTATATTTATATTCACCTTGGCCTAGTTACACCTCTTTGGTTGAGAGTGTTGCCACTTATCTGTATGATGGACAAACTGCATGATAGAATTCCTGTGTAACCACTCAAAGTTCAAATTCGATTTTTTAACGAGTCTCCCTGAAAGGGGGATGAGGTGAAGCCATCCATGCATTTTTTTCCTATACAAATTTCTTCAGCTTATACCTCTAAAGGAGGGAGGCACTTTGATCGCAGCTATGGTTTCAATAAATAAGTAAATGCAAGGTAAAGGGAGTGATGAGTTCTTCAGATCACCCTTGGGCTGGATCTTAGATAAATTCCGTGTATGTATTACGGTACCTTTTCATTTTACCTTGTGTTCTCTTCTATCCGTCGAAAGATGGTGTGATTGCGAAGTAACCCCTATAAAAGTGCTTTTTTCGTCAACAATCACAAAGCTGTGGTCCAGACTCCTCCACTAAACAGGGAACGAAAGGGAAACGGATCAAACCCTTTACGTGTTGCGTTCTGATTTACCAACGAAAATACCATCTTTTAAGTCAAGGAGAAGAAACTTTCAACACCATCTTTTTCCACATTTCTCCCTACAAATCAACCACGCCGTGCGTACCCGACCTGACCCTCAACTGAACCCTCCAAGTCTCACACCTGAGCACAACAAACGACTTTCCCGATGCGAAATAACTTCGGATCGCAAGAGGAGGAGCATCAAGACCCCAACGAGACCCCCTCCGGCCTCACGTGGACGGTGTGGGTGGAGGTCTTCCCCCCCACCTCTTTGGCGTTCTACACGTTAAGGGAGAGGATGCCGAGGCCTCCCGAATTCTCCCCCATGTCGGCCCTCGTTGAGGGATTGGGCTGGGGTGACACTGAGGACTTCTCGAGCGACCTTCAGCCCTCCTGGCTAATCCGGCTGCTCTGGGGTGGGGAATCGGAGGAGGAATCCTTCCTTGCGGTGTTTCGGCCCCCCCTTCCCTCTGTGGAGGTCAGATTCCGTCGTGACATCGCCCCGCCCGCTACGCAGCACAGGGACATTCCTGTCAACCTGGAGCGCAGCCGCGAACATATGGAGCCCCCAACAACCCACTCTCAGGACACGATTGCGATGCAAAACCAAGCATCTCTCCAAGCAGTGGAAGAGATGCTACGTTCCCCTTAGTTGGCGCATGCCGATCGTGATGGTCAGATGCTTAAGTGGAATACCGCCATATTATATTGCTGTTAAAATTTAAGGATACTATAATGACTCAAAAATAGCCGTAAAAAACTATTAATAACGATGTCATGTGTTTTCTTCCCTTCCCCTTTTAAGAATACGACAAAATATCTTCCGAAGGACACAACAATCATCAAATGTGGAGTAATGGGAAAGGGAAAATAAAATGTACTTCTATATAGTTATAAACTTGCTTTCCCTTGACGGCTTTTTGGTTATTCTTTTTACACTGGTAAAGCAATCATCCCTTTTTTATTTAGTTAAACGCTGCTTACTAAACATTATTTTATTCATTCAATGATTATGGTTTCTTTTTAGAAAACCTTTCATTATTTATGGAATTATACTTGCGTCAATGTCTTGATGTATTTCTGCATTCATTGAATTACTATTATACTCGCACGATTTTCTCTAATGTAATTATATACAAATAAATACTTTAAATCATAGAGTACATCTGTTGTGTCTCAAACGAGGAACGACAGTTCAGTTTCCTATATTCCTTTAATTATAATCTTTTTTATTAACGGACCATACTGGATTGCTTACTATATTTGTTCATTTATTTATTACTTTCTTCAATTGGAGTATTTCTTGAAGTCGTATGTGTCGTGATGTTTACGGTGTGGGGAAAGGGGCCTCGCCAGAGCGATTACGACCATCGACACTTCACACAGCTACAATGAATAACATAAAGTGCTAAAAGGTCGTTTAAAGCAAAAGTGTGACCTCAGGTATCCTGGTCGGGAATGCACCCCGGATCCGATCATAGTAGCCATCGCCCCACAACCTAACTTGAAACAGGAAGGATAAGGGCGGTTGGTTTACCTCCTCGACTCCGGGTGTTAAGCCCCGACATCACGATAAAGTTGTCTCCATTTGCTTCTCGACTTCCTTTGGCTTAGTTTATTCCTTTATAACTACGTGAATAGAGACTTATTAAGTATGTTCATTTATTCATGAAGAGTACATGTTACTCAGGGGATTTTTCTCTATTCTTAAAGCTCCAATTTATTATTATTATCATTATTGTGCCGCTCTTTCTGTCTCATACTAGCAGAAACTTGATTATTGGAAAGCTTTTAAATAAAATAAAATAATAGGAAAAGTGTCCCGTTCGGCCACTTCCCCTCGCATGAGTGTCGCGTCAGTGTAGTCGAGACCGCCGGTGAGGATGAAATAAATGGATTGCTGCTATGTGTAGGATCACAACTCTCATATGGCCGGGCTCTTTCTATCAAGACACAATAAACTTGTGAAAGCTTCTGATGAGGACTACCTATGAGGAAAGGGAAAAAATCTATACGAGATTCATACATGTGCTAAGTAAATGTGCTCAATGGGAAACCATTGACTGCAAGGATTACGCTAAACTGCGTCTCAAGGAACAGTTGTGGAGGTGCCGGCAACAGCAACTGGGAGATGAATTTAAGTGTAGGACGGATGACATGCGGTGGTGTTAAACATGAGAATTAAAGGTATCTGTATACATTGTGAAGTTTTGCGGTATAAACCCTTATCCACAAAGCCACTGGGGTGCGGACGTGGCACCAAAATGGTACTCTTATTTGCTCCAGACACTAATTGAAAACACGAATGTGGGTGTGGTAGGAAGAGATGACGGCGACTGTAGTATCCCCTGTGATATCTCTGCACGTCATCCTGTCCAGCTACTTCTCCGTTTTGGTCGATAGAGGAAAAATGAAGCGAGTTTCCGGACCCTCATAGCGATGAGGGGTGTGTTATCAGCAGCCCTAGTGCATGTAACGGTTCTGTGAATGGTAGTTATTCCAATCTAGTGTATAATTCTTGTGTTTACAAGAATAGCCACTTGCTCAGTTGAGGTAATAGTGAGGGAAGCCTCGCAGAGTCCCTGTTTGAGGCTAGAACAGACAAACATGTCCTCTATGAAACCATAACGAAGCGGTAGTCTACTGCTAAGCAAATGTCGCGGGCTCATGTTTTTCTCTTTTTGAGGAAAAGAATAAACCAAGGAGGATATATCAATAATGTATGCGTGGAGTATATTCTGAGACTACTACTTTTTCACATACAGTAGTCTTTTATCGATGTATGTGTTCTTAGTAATTGAACGTATTTGATCGTCCTTATCCGTCAAAGGAAGAAATTTACTTAACGTTGCTGCTTATGATTCGCTGATTAGTGTCACCTTCTACTATATCTTTGCTCTGTATGTAAAATGAAAAGTTGAAAAAATACGAAATGTCTTCCATAAACCTTTTTAACATATCCAAACAATAATGATGACATGATTTTCCTTGGAGGGGGGGGAGAAGGGAAATTCCTTAATAGAGCACACTTCGCCGTCCCCGCAAATATATGTCAAGTTCGTCTTGTCTCACTCCGCACCACACAACATAAGCGTCGCTGCTAGAGCTTACTTTAACTTGGGGACTTTTACCTGACAGCTGCATTAATTTGCATATACATATACATATATATATAGCTTTTTTTCTATTTAGCTACCAACTGAGTATTAATCACTTTTAACAATTACAGTGAGTAATAAAGAGTCAAATTGATTCCACCATTAGACATCTAAAGAATAAACTATTAGTTGTGAGTATCTCTTCATTTTCAAGCAATGTCTTCCGAGGATGTGAGTCTCCTGGGTTGTGATAAAACCGACCGGAAAGACTATAACACGGTTGAACATGCCGATATCACTATAAAGGAGGAATCCGCCATCGCCTCCGCCATCGATGCGGTGCAGAAGCGACGCAACAAAGAAAAGCGTGTGCTCCTGGGGGCGCTCATTTTCTGCTTCGTTTTTATGGTCGCGGAATTCATCTTTGGTGTGATCGCGCATTCCCTTGCGTTGATTACGGATGCCGTCCACCTGTTTACCGACGTCGGCGCATATGCGCTCAGCATTGGCGCCCTCTTCGCGGCTGGCCAGGTTGCATGTGGGAAGTACAACTACGGATGGAGTCGTGCGGAGGTGATCGGTACGCTGATCTCTGTCATCTCGATCTGGGCGCTGGTGATCTGGATTCTCAGTGAGGCGCTTAGCCGCATCTATGATATTGTCATGTGCTCTCGGGTACCAGCGCAGCTCGTGGCAATGAAAAAGAGTGGCATCCAGGTGGACGTCAACGACATCCGGAGTTGCAAGGAGATCAAATCAAGCTTGATGATCATCGTTGGATTTCTCGGCCTTCTTGTGAACGTCGTCTGTGCCCTCATCTTGTACATCGGTGGCACC